GAACGAGAGGGCATTAGGAAATAGAGAAGAATACACAGATGAGCAGAACACAAGGAAAGGTTGAAAACTCTCACACTACGAATCAAATTATGTGATATTCTAATAAATGGTCGAGCGAAAGAAGAGTATTCGGGAAATTCTAATTATTGACCAATTAAATGTTATTAATTTGTTATTGTTGAAAATAACCCTTTTTGTAACTTTAATCATTATAACCGTCGGCATTGCTGACTGGGTGCAGAAAGCTGTACATCTAACTTTCACTAAATCAACTTACAACAAAAATCGATTCTGGGTGGGACATCTACAATAATGTAAATAAATATTGGAAACCCTCCCGCACTCCCAAATCCTCACGGAGGAGGAGGGAACCTTTACACTTTGCTTGTATTTTAACATCATATTGTCAGAGAAGAATTATGAACAATAATTTCTACTATGTATTTATGTAATAATGATATGAAAACAACGGATTTTATTAATGTATTGTTTGTTTTAAAGCAATAAATCACATGTATAATAAATGTAACGGATTTATTTTATGACTCAGTCGTTTATATGCTTCTCTATTTATTTCTTATTAAAGACACGTTTAAACGCTCATTCAATCCAATAAGAAGCTATTCCCGAAATTATAGCATATCCAATAGCATATAAAAATATGTTTCTTCTAGGTGGAAATTCTAATAGAAACATAAGAGAACAAGTGTTACCTTACAATCACAATTTTATTTATTACTGACTGTTTTGTCTGGAGAGAGTTTTTGGTCTGGTTTAAAAATGTAAAGATTTCTTTGATAGGTATGCTGAGATGCTGGTTATTCTTTCAGCTTTCAATTGACTGGCTTGCCTCCTTCAAGTAAAATGTAATTACAAGACCAAAAATTAAAATAAAGGAGTTGATTGGTTCCACATATCCGATATCTTACGGAAAAAGGGACTGGAGAAAAAAATGAGACGAATCTATCCAGGTCTTCTGTTGTTCGTCTGTTTTGTTGTTGTTGAGGTTGTTTATAAAGAAAACATAAAAATTTTAGCCAATCTCAAATGTAAGATACATATATCTTTTTATAAGAATCAAACAAGATTTAAAATTGGCTTCCAATTTTAGCGTATCTATAAAGTAGATATTTCTTTACAACAAACTTTTAACTCTTGAAAATTAAATAAGTGTCGAAATGCTTTGTATTCATACATAAAAAAGCTATATTTGCAATATGGTTTGTTAGAGCTAAATGGAAAAAATAGGTCTACCTTTTCAAACACTTCAGCCATTTCAATACACTTCTGGCATTTCACAGGCTAATACATCGAGTGACGTAGGCACATTGTCTGCTTTTGTGATTAATATGCTACTCAAAATGTATAATATTTGGTATGAAACGTAAAATTATTACACATAACCATTCGATGTCGTAGAAATCCTTGGGCTAGAATTAATACACTGATGAAGATAAGCACACAATAAATCACTCCCTGATAGTCATTTAATTTCCTCCCTGCCAGATTTAGGTGGATTAGGTGCTCAATAAAGCAGAGTCGGAATCAGTCGAATGCAGGTTTTCGATCATTACTTCAACGAAAATTTAATCAGGTTTTACACAAGCTCGTGAAATATGTATTGTCGTTCAGTTAATAAATATACTCGCCTATTATGTAATAAACCCATGTGCAAAGTTGATAGACCCCCAAAAATCTGGGTATATGCAATTTATTTGGAAAGGAAGTATAGCAAACAACATATATACAAACTTGCCTGCTGATATATTCTGCGACGGCGAATCGGGGTCTTTGTTGTTGGCAACGGAACCTGACGAATATCCATAATAAACTATACAAAAGTAAGAGTGAGTTTATAGAAACAGTGTGTGTGTGTGATTTGGATATTTAACGTAGCTTTAACAATTTTTCGGTAATATCGATACGATTTCTGCAGTGTGACAGTTTATTGAATCACATTATTAATTCAGTTCCCATAGTAAACCTATGCAAATACCATATCACAAATTCAATACAATTATAATTTCTGAGTGCCCATGATCACACCTATATTTATCAGTATAGATGAAACCTGAATATCCGCTTTTGTTTAGAGAAAAGGATATGAGCTGCGACATTTTCTGGACCTGCTTGAGTTTGAAACATGTTCTTTCAATTCCGCAACATAATACAATCCTAAATCAAGAATGTTAAAGGACTGAGATTCCATCAATAAAACAATATCTGTATTTATTTTTCTTACATCCAGGATAAGCTCTCAAAAGATTTTTTCACTTTAAACATTACTTACATTATTAGCCACTTCTGGTCACCCAAACCCATACATACTATAAGTTCTTCAATTTCTAGGCTGGTTCCCATTTTTCCATACCATTAGTACCGTGTGTCCTTATAGTGATGTCTAGCAATGGGGCATCGTGCCGCAGATATGTAGCATCATGTCCCACCCATTCAAATTATCCTGACACCAGGCCAACCAGTCCAATTACTAATGTCTTTACGCTGAGCGCTACACGAGGCAGCTGCTCTTTAGTATTACTCGGTCAGGACTCGGCCAGAACGCATGCGGCCATTGGACTGATTTTAAATGGTCCTTCAGGGCTCGAGCATGGCCTACTTTCATAATAATCTAAACAAGTAATTACGTCAGCTGAACAATATCAAACAGCGTTTTACAGCTAACGCCATCTATCAAATGATAATGACAAATAAGCAGTAAGTTAGCTTTTAAGTTTTCTGCTGCAGCTCTCGGCTTCATGAAAGTTTTTATGTGGCCCATGGAGTCAAAACCGTTGGAAAGCACTTATCTAACCACTTGGGCAACCAATGCGGTCCAAAGATAAGTTGGAAAAATCTGTATCAATGCCAAGCGTATTATTTTCCTAATCACTATTAATACGATCATTATTGAACTGATGAAAACCTTTTTGAAATCACACCATATGCTTTATTTATTTAGATTTATTTACGTTTGTTTCTTGTTGTGCATATTATTATATTACACTGATGATTGAGTTATTCTTTGTTAAATAATGTGTTAAGTTGTTATGTTAATGTATTATTACTGGTAGTTTAAGATTCTACAACGCTACAAAAAGGTTTTTCCAACATACATACATACGTGCATACATACATACATACATACATACATACATACATACATACATACATACATACATACATACATACATACATACATACATACATACATACATACATACATACATACATACATACATACATACATACATACATACATACATACATACATACATACATACATACATGCATGCATGCATGCATGCATGCATGCATGCAATCAAACAAACAAACATACATACATACATACATACATACATACATACATACATACATACATACATACATACATACATACATACATACATACATACATACATACATACATACATACATACATACATACATACATACATACATACATACATACATACATACATACATACATACATACATACATACATACATACATACATATTAGTCAGCGTCAGCAAATTTATTCACCGAATTACCGCTAATCATGTGAAAGACTAAGTATTACACGAAATTATCTTTGAAGGCAAATATAGCACTGAATGAAACTGAAATGTGCTGACTAGCTCCATACTTAGAAAATGGGATTACAAGAATGAAACTTGTAATAAGTCCGTTTTTCACACGATTGACACAAAGCACATGTATCCGCAATTAATTGTAGGTAATATTACGTTAAGTACGCAAATGGTTTGGCATTTATCATGGCATTTATCCTAAGTCTTTAAAATTACCAGTGTTTTGTTGAGTCTACCAATTAGGACTTTTCGCATTATTTGCATAGACCTACATTTCCAGTGATGTAAAGCAAAAATGATGGTCACTCACTCGGATGTTTAACTACCTTTGCATATCGATTTTCAGATCGATAGCTGGACAAGAAATGCAAATTGTGTTGATAACGACCACCCTGGCGATTAGATGCGCTAGTTTGGTTGCGATCAATTATTAATAATTACGAGGACATTATATAGCACCTAATCTTTAGAAGCTCTAAGCGCTTTACAAGATTTGAAAACACTTAATAAGAATACAAAAAAATATAATGATATGATTTCACAAATAAAAGCAATCACCACAAAATTATAAACAGAAAAACATGCTTTACATTTTTAATGTAAGAACACGTTATAATGATACATTATTAGGTTTTTATGACTTAGTACAAATAATGTTGTTGGTGTGGGCATAACATCATGACAGACTATTTTTATAGCGGCCAGTATAACCAGTAGAGGAAGAACTGGGAAAAAAAGATCCCAAGAAGAATTACAGACCCACGAGAAGCTAACCATGTAAGCCGTACCGGAGACTCAACCTGGCGTTGACAAAGTTAAGATGGCAGTTCTAGATAACTGAAACGCTTAAAACTCGGCCACCTTGGACCCCACTTTAAACGTTATATACCAATATGTCTATTCGTGGTTGAATCATTTCATAACACATCTCTGTTCTACCCTCATAGTGTGCGCAAAGTGAGAAAGCTCGATGGTCAGGATCGTAAATTACGATAACAATAATAATCTTTGCATTTCATTTTGACAACCAATTAACGATATTATTTTCGCGACTGACATTTTATCATCTCCTTCTTCCGTTGGAGAAAGCAAAAGCTCTCAAAAATACCAGAACACTAAGCTGTATTATGTTTTGTCCTTTTTCGGATTCGTACTCCAAATTACTCAAAACTTACTGTATCACTGTAAAATACTGGTATAAACGCTATCCTGAGGAAATTTAAAAAACGGAACTAAAACATCTAATGGATGCTAAATGTGTGCGTGAAAGAGAGATTTAGATTTTTAACGTAGCTTTAACAATTGTTCAGTCATATCGCTGTCTAGCACTTGGGCATAATGCCACTAACCTTTTAATACTGAGAGCCAAGCGAGGCAGCTGTTAGTACCATTTTTTAAAAGCCTTTGGTATGACTCAACCTGGGTTCGAAGCCACGACCTCCCGCATCCGAAGCGGGCGCTCTTACCATTAAACCACAGGAGCAGTTAGCATGGTAAATGATTCCTTAGCTCCTATCACAGCTTGTAATAACCGATTATGTAAAATAAATATACGCTTTTGCAAGACAGAAAGAGAGAGACTAATGTCGAGAACGTTTGATGTAATTAAGCACATATCCTCAATACTGCTGGTGTCAAAAATATGTGATAGTCAGGATATAAGCTTTTTAGTATTTTTCAGCTGATTTTTCCTCCTAAAATATGGACAGGACGATTACATACACCCCTCAGGTTTATTCCCGATTTGAAAACACTTCTCAATAACTGACCATAACTTTTCATCAAATGTCAAGCGTATAAACATTTATGCATAGAAGAAATGCGCAACATGTCGTAAAAGGAAAACATCAGGCACGGTAAAAGCCAAATCTCGTAGCATCAGCTGGGAAAATGATTACAGTGGAAGATTTTATTTTAAAGCTAAGAAAAGTAACACATGCAAGTTTAGGTACCCCGTAAACAATGCATCAAAATGAACAAAGCTAAACATTCATTATCCTACATACGTGCATACTCACACTTATCCTAAACGTTCCAGAAAAGCAATCAGGATTATTCGAACAGTCCACATTAAGGACACACAATAGCTCGAATACATTCCCGAAGATAACATTTTTTAGGGTTAATAACAGTCAAAAAATAAAACGACCATAGTAATTATTTCTTTACGCTAAATTATTGCACTGATGTTCTTTGACAAAGAACACGCCACAATTTTAAAAGACTAACGCATGTGTAGACGAAACAATTAATTATTCCGAGAAAGGTGTATCAAGTCAGAGCTATTGTACAAATATAGATACAAATGAACAAATTCCAAATTACATTATGTTTACATACTTGGCGTCGTATTATATTATATGTAAAATAAACTATCCATTTTATGCAATCAAAAGTAGCAGTACGTAATACACTTCATGATCTCTCTCTCTCTCTTTCTCTCTCTCTCTCTCTCTCTCTCTCTCTCTCTCTCTCTCTCTCTCTCTCTCTCTCTCTCTCTCTCTCTCTCTCTCTCTCTCTCTCTTGTGCTAGTTGTGCGCAGTGTCCACATAATCTTCTTAATAACGATATACTTTGTTTAATACTTTACAGTTTCTTTTCTCGAGTAGCATGTAAGATTTATGTGGGAAATTGTCGTCGTGCAAACCACACCAACCTCTGTCACTACGGTTCGTTGCTAGGGAATGACCTCCGCGGTGTAGTTTACTCAGTGTGGATAGATAGAAAGAAGAATGCAGCTCACGGAACAAGTATATTGAATAAAATAAACACGACGAGCCTAAATGCGACGAGCCCCCTTTCAATGAACAAATATAAAATTTAATCAGTTTATCAACAGAATTTAAAATGAAAAGAAATCAATGACTTGGTTACAAAAGAAGGAAAATGGTACTAACATGTACTCAAATAAAAAGACAATACAAATTTTTTAAATGTAAAATTACTTTCCAAATTAATATACTATCTTCATTGCCAATGAGATGTGACCTTTGAGTGCAACGATGAGAGACTTCATCACCTATTTTATTCGGACATCAATACTTCCGTTCGTCCCTGCTCCGTCGTTCTTTGTCTAGCTTTTTCGTCTTGGACTCTTGTCCGTCGAACTCTGACTTAACAATCGTCTCTGGACTTAAATTTCTGTGTAGCATTTGTTCTGGTCCTGTGATTGTTCAGGGATTTCTCATGTGAATCCAGAAAAGCTGTTTCCTTTTGCCGTTTCTTTATTCGTTTCCACGAACCTCACGTATAGTCAGTCTCCTATCTGAGACAACTATCAGGCCCCTTACTCTATATTAAAAACGTACTTTTTACGAATTCAGAAAGTAGAGTTTGCCTACTCGCTGATAAAAAAATCTCCCACTTTACTGCCAAATAACGAGATAACGTCTTACACGTTCTTCCCGGAGTCTCGACCACTCTTTGTCCAAGTAAGGTTGAAGACTAAAGAATTTTCCTAAAGTAAAACCTTTAATTTCTTACAGAGTTACGCCCATAAATCCATACTAACCAATCGGAATAGACTGTTTCCTAAACCTGTTCCGTAGAAATTTTGGATTGACAATACAACTAAACAACTGATCATGCCGTAATTAACATTACTTTGAGCAATCATCTATAGCCAGCTCCCGCCCTTTAACCCGTCGATTTTGGGAAAGGGTCTTACGTCATTCTTTTGTACCATAGCATCTGACTCGGTCATGTTACGTCGGCTAGAACGAATTCCCTTTTGACGTTCAGAGATGAAATGAAAATAATCATCTAACAATCACTAGCCATTTCTACTTTACTTAAGTTGACATTGATACACTTCCTTTAACCAAAGCTTCTAAGAGTTTTCAAAATTCGACACATCACAATTTATATTGTTCATATTTGTAATTATATGACTTATTTACTCTTCGCAATTGGAAGGAAGTGAAGATCTATCTCTTAAACAAATACGGTAATGAGGGTCAAATACACTTACAAACGTGACATGAAAACTGTGTAATATGTATAAACATGTACCTATGATATTTCTCATTTAAATTAAAATACCCAATAGCAGACGGAAAGCAACATGTCAGGAAAGATGCTTGATCACACAAGTACGTGCTTTGTGTCATACATTATTAGCTTTAACATATCCTTGAAAAATAGTAATACCATTTGCACAAATGATCTCAAAATGTATCTTTAAAACTTCAAAACACGACATCTAAAGGTAAATTGATTGAACTTTATGTGACTTGTTATCTTTTTCGAAATGACTGTCATTTCCTTCAGACTATGGGTGCAATTCTCCTTCCGCTTCTAATCGTGTCAGCTTCATTTAAGATCCGTATACCGTTTCGTCTTTACAAGCATGCATATTTAAAGAGATATCCAAGAATCTAATATGAGACCTACTAAAGAAAACAATTTTTAGCATCATCATTCATCTCAAATATGAGAAACCTACTTTCGAGTCACATAACAATAACTCGACATGGTTCAAATCTTGTTATCTCTCCGTACATCTGATAGTCTTTGTCATTTAGTTTCAATACAACCAATATGTTTCTTTATGTCATCATGTTTGCAATCAGTATGCCAGACTGGAAATAGGAGCAATGGGTACAGAAGTGCATATCATCTGGTGGTATTCTTATGTCAAACAATTCTTTATTTTGCTGAAGATATCCGATCTTCAAATCTATATAATTAGCTTGGCTGACCCAAACATTGGCAGTTCTAGAAGCATTCCACAGCATATACATAGCATGTCACAAGGGATTTCACAATTCAGTAGTTGAGTTTGACCCATGGGAAAGCTTTCTGGCGTGTTATCCAATCCTTCAATTGAAATGTAAGTTTATTAATGAAAGCCACATTATATTATATTTTACCAAGGCAATCCTATTAATAAAATATAGCATCTGGAGAAACTCGCCGGCTCAAAGTACCTCAAGTCCACTAAAAAATGTTTCCATAAAATAGTGCTGTTTTCCGAATCTATTGCATTTTAGCATTATTCTTCAAAACAAAATATCTCACAGTTATGAGAAACAGCAACAAAGTCAAAATATCTCAAAGGGTATGACATATCATAGGGAAATATTACTACTTATTAATAAATAAAATAAATGAGGGTTTGATCCAGTCAGTGATATCCAATCCAATCCATAGCTTTTAGAGGTAGATAACTTGTCAGTGATAACATTCTCATCACCGACTGCTTCAAAACCTCTCCCATAGAAACCTCATACCTTGTTTATCTTGTTTCAGAAGGAAGTCACTCCGATGTCTTGACACTATTGCACGTGTAAAGAAAGCCGTTATTTTTACTCTGAATTTAAACTATTGGTGGATTTTTAGGCCTTGGTTTAGGTCTCGTTTGGTCATCAATAGAACTATTCACTGACCTACAAACAATATTCTAAAACATCCAACTGATATAGGTACATTCCATTTAAAATTTGTTTATTGATCTTACTACCTAAATGTGTCATACTAATTGTTGATTCAGTTGATTCTGAGAGCGATACATGTGAACTTTGGTGTGTCTTCTGTCTCAAAGCAAATGACAAAATCCTCTGCATTTTCACTATTTCGCCTCCCAAGCGTCACTTATTTCAAAAGGTTATATCATTCGTACAAATTAAGTCGGTGAAACACATTAAGTGTTGCAATAAATGTTACACTTTATTACTATGTTCAACACCGAAATATGCCTGTTTGGGATAATGTCAAAAGGTTATATTCGCCAGTACGTGAATATTTGAACTAAATATGTTACTTGCTGTTGGAAATGTGAGAATAGTGGAAGTCATAGTTGTAGGATTTAACGCCATTTTCAGCACAACATTGCCTATTCATGGAATCAACGATCCATGAGAAGCTACTGGCAAGTTTTCTCATCTACCCACTTTAGCCGAGCCTGAGACTCGAACCCATTCGGTAAGAGATGAGATTGCAGTGATCCGGAAGGGAATGGTGATCACTTTAGACTAATTAGACATTCGGGGCCCTGAAACTGTGAGAAAATCATTCACATATAATTACATACGACAAAAGTAACAACTGTAATTGTTTGGGTTTTTCTTTTCGCCGCTTACCTGAACTTAACATTTAAAATGTTTTGTGTGTGCTCCAAAGAAAATATGCGGATGCTTGTGGATTTATCAGCCATATGTGATTTAAAATTTATTTTACTTCGTTTATTTTACTTCGTTATTCCTGTACATAACTGTTTTCTTGCAGTAAAAGTTCCTAATGTACTTGTTAGTCTCAGGGTTGCCTACAAAATAAATTCAGATTTCCATCACAGGTATAGATAATTAGCTTCTAATTACCCCAGGTATTATTAGGAAAATATTGAATGGCGAAGGCTCACTGAACAGATCTAAAGACTCGGACTGCTAGTGTCCATTCTAAAAATGCAAACAACTGGAATTTTATTCAAAGCAAATATAGTGTCATGGAAAACAATTATACTATACCAATGTTTTTATCCAACTG